ACGTGCATCTCAATCGTCTGCGGAAGGTGAGGCAAAGAGCTCCGCCACTTGCGACGGCTGACAGCCCAACACGAATGAGTACGGAAGCAGGAAACGCGCTGTGGATGCATTAGACCCCAACCTTCTAGACGGTATTACTATCAGCAGGTCCTCCAGTATTAATCGCCCAGCCACTAGGACTCACTTCTCCTTTATCACCGAAGCTGTCTTGCAGAAACTGACCACTCTACGCATGCACAAACCCCCGTGTGTCGATAGCTTTCGTTCCGAAGCACTGGGAGCAGCAGAAAGTCAACTGGCAGAGGCACTGACTCAGTTCTTCCACCACTGCCATGTGGAAGCTTGGAATAATAACATCCATACACAAAGGTTGAAGCAGAACTGAGGCTTCAAACTACCGCCCAGTTGCCCTTCTCCCTATACTCTCCAAAGTAATGAAACCCATCGTAGCCCATGTGTTGGTGGTCTATTTGAAAAGGTCTAACGTTATTATTTCTGAGCAACACAGTTTTCATCGAAATCGATCATGCGCAACTAATTTGCTAATAGCACGGAGTAGCTGGACCCCGTCAGCTGACACTGGAGAGAATGTTCATGTCATCTACTTGGATTTCTCGAAGCATTCGACCATCTAGTTCATCGGATACTCCTTTCCAACCTACAGCGTTACGGGACTGGTGCCAGTCCTTCAGCGGCAATTGGTGGTCAGAGCTCGGAGCTCCTTCTTTGACCACATACAAGTTGAATGTGGTTTGCCTCAAGGCTCGGTGCTAGGTTTCGGATAGTTTTTGGCTTTCATCAATGACCTCACACAGAGTTACATCTGACTTCCTGCTGGTTGCCAAGGACGGCAAGATTTGGCGCAAACGTCAGGGGAATACTGACCAGAGTGATCTAGACATGTTATTCCAGTGGTCCAGCCAAAATTCACTATAATTCAACGTGAGTACATGTAAGGTACTCTCCATACGACACAAAAGCAACCACTATTACAGCCTTGGAACGCATGTGCTGCAGCCATCTGTCACGGAACGTGATTTGGGCGTACTGGTTCAAGGTGATCTGGGTTGTCCCAGACAATCCGCGAAAGCCTCTAACACTGGTAACCAACATGTGGGCCTGTAACGGCAGGCGTTCGGAAAAATAGATCGCTCTATTTTCCGGTAGATGCTTAGTGCCTAGGTTCGTCCTCATGTCGAATATGCGATGCAAGCCTAGCACCCATGGCTACAAAACTGCGTTAGTGCATTGAAGCAGCCCCCACGTCGATCATCAAAGTAGGTAATTGGAAGGCACCATCTTCCATACGAGGAGAGGTTGGAAGGATTTTGAGTACTCAACTGACGTTACCACCGCTTACGTGGTGACTTGATAATGGTGTACGTAATTATACACGATCCACATCACTTGTACCCGCTCTTTACTGCAACTCAGCCGTAATACTAACCTGAGACGTCACTCACTAAAACTGGCAGAACAGTACAACCCCCTGTTTTGTCACAGGAAGTTCTTTACCGTCCACGGGTCTCACCCGTAGAATGCCTTTCCAAAATCCGTCATTTATACACCATCACTATCCATATGTAAAAGACTTTGGGATGACTCACTTACTCACCTACAGTTTGTTACCTAGTACTACATCTCCATGCCACTTTTGGAGTATACTGTGGATTTAGTTGCTATTAAGTGTTTGTGCTGTGAAACTAAACAGCTCGCATGACTACAGCGAAACAAACGATAAGTCCCTCTTTTAAACGAAATTAACCCAGTGTTTTTATTTTTCGATTACCCTGCAAAATCACCCAACGGGACATGCAAAGCATTGTTTCTTAGTCCGTATAAATTCATTGTTTATTGTTCAAGAGTAAAGCAAGTATTTGGGTCTGAAGAGTGCAAAACCCTGAGAAGGGAGTGAGCATCCTCCAAGAATGGTGTGATCACCAAGGGATCGTCAAGTTGCTTCTTGTAGAGGCACATTCGTCCGAGGTCTGACTCGCAAGGTGACTCGACCATCGTCATGAAGATGTCCGCAAGCAGATGGCCAATTAGACTCCACATAGCCACGCCATCTGGTTGTCCATATGCCTGTCTCTCGAACACAAAGTACACACTTTCCGTGCAGAGTAACAACAAATGCTAGAGATACTCTACAGGAATTGGCAGAGGTACTTTCTCATTAGTAGTGGAGCCACATAAGAAATCCACTGTTTCTCCCAAAGGTATGTCGGTAAACAAAGACTGTACATCCATGGACCATGTCAGTTTGGCTGAAAAGTTACTAAAACGCATTGTTCAAGTAACTCAGTAGGTTTCAAGATGTGCTTAATAATAAGACTTATATTTCCCGATGGTGGGAGAAGCTGTCCCTGGATTGTGGACAGCATATGGATACAATAACGAGCATGCTCATGCAGGAGTGTGTGGTGTCAAAATATTTTGGAATCACATAATTTTTGTTGTTGCTGTGTGCTATGTACCATGTGTCTTCCTTGGTTATATATACCTTAGTCTATCATGTGTGTGATGATGTTGTGATGATGTACCCCAAGGAAACAAAGTCATTGTCCAGTTCTGAACCAGTAATTTACCAAACTTAATGCGGCATTTTCTTGCATTTGTGCAAGAGCTGATTGTGTCTAGTAGGCTATTCCACAGGACAGCGTAGCTGACGAGGAAAGTAAAATCATGAACAAGGATTTGTACCAGGTAAAAAAGCAGTTGCTTGACAAGTCTCGCAGGATGGTAAGGGTTAAACTACAGTTATCAAAAGATGTGTTACAATAAAGCGAGACGAAACAACGTTTTAGCAGATTTTACTGAATTCAGCAATTTCGCGTATTCTCCTCAGCTGTTTACATACAATTAGTGGAATACGCAGGCTACATAGCAGACAATCGAAGTGCGATGTTAACGGCAAAAGATTCAAAGCGATCAAAGGCTCTTAAGCTCACGACACCCGTTCCAAGGAAAACTCAATCACTAGCCTCACCAGGGGAGGGCTAGCGTGGTCACGAAATCCGTTTGCTTGCACAGAATTGGTTTCAACTGCCGAACTGCTGAGTTGTCTGTTTGTGCGTTTATTTAGCAGATACGCCGCCGAATAATAATAGTGCAACTGGGAATTGAATGCTTACGACGAGGCATCATAGGGAGAGTTATAGTTGGTGTTCTCTGTGAGAATATTATAAACGAGAATACTCGTTCCAGTACCGCCTGCTCCGGTTTATGTGGCATTTAATCCGTTTTGAATTGATAGTTGATATATTCCAGAGTATCGCAGTTTAGGCAACCAAGTCAAAGGCAAGATACAGTTGTTTTTGAAAATATGCAAGGTGGGGGAGGAAACGAGGATGTTTGGGAGCGTGTTCCATGGTCGGCAAACCCGAAGAGAAAATATTTCCCTTGGCATTCTAGCCGGCTATACTGTGCACAAAATTTCAAAGGGTTACCTGTGAAATTGATGTTTTGGCTGTGTTTTAGCAAGTGACAGCTTCTGTGATTAGGATCACTCAATATTTGGTAGACTAATATGAGCTCACCGCGCAGCCTTCGGTAAAGGCCACCGAAAACTGCTAGTGACTTCAGCCTTTGATGATAGGACAGATTTCGTAGGCGGTTGACGTTCTTTGTGGCCTTGCGTTGTGGTTTCCCTAGCACTTCCAATTCGCAGTTTAACCAAGGTTGCTAAGCTTAGATGACGTATACAACATGCGGTCGAACGTGAGAATTGTGCATCATGGTGAAGACGGATGGATCGAGTCTTCTGAATGCTCTTCACAGCAAGCCAGCATGATTGTTGGCTATCTTCGCGGTTGCCGCTGACAGCTTTTACCCGTTAAGGTCACTTTGAATAAGCATACCTAGGTCGCGTTCTTGGGAAGTTGTTTACAACACACGTGACCCAAGCATATACACGTAGTCACGCTTATAGCGCAACTGAACAGCGTGACATTTCTCCCCACTGAACGGTCGTGTATTCAGAAATGACCAGGTTGAAATCGTGTTGAGGTCACGCTGAAGCTTCTCGTGGTCCTTCGGTTCTCTGATCGCTCGCCACAACTTGATCTCATGCGCGAAGAGTAGGAAATCGGAAGTAAGTTCCCTCGTCAGGTCGTCTAACAAAATCAAAACTAGCCGGGGCCCAAGCACCGAACCTTGTGGTATGCCGCACTTCACCACAATTGCGTTGGACAGGGATTCTCTTACTCTCACCTCCAACCTAAGTTCGTGCATGAAATTGTCTATCCAATGCACAAGTGGGTCACCAGCGCCATAGAGCCTGAGTTTATGCAAAAGTATTCGGTGGTCTAAGCGCTCAAATGCTTTTCAGAAGTCCAAGTAAATGACATCGACTCCCGCTTCATCATCAACTGCTTCAGTCTAGTTATTGCATGCAATTACCAGGTTCGTAGTGCACGAGCGCATTTGTCGGAAGCCGTGTTGCTCCGGTGTTATTTTGTGCTTTTCCAGATACTGCATGGGTGCATCAGCGATGACAGACTCCATAACCTT